TTAACATGTCCAAAACGTTTATGCCATAAAATAGAATCATTAGATGATGCAATAAGACAATGTTCATTTGAAATATTATTCATAGATAACACATATATGTTATTTTTTCTATAACCTTTAAAAATAATGGTTATTAAATCAATATCATAAATTAAGCATGATTCTTTTTCAAAAACAATTTTATAACCTTTATCACAAAGTTGACTAATACTTAGTAAATTATGTTTAAGACCATTAACTAATAAAACATTATCAATGATAGGTTTGTTTGGATTACCTACGGAACCAATACCGATGACTTTTCCTTTGTTGTTATCTCCAAAAGTAACGGTACCTCCATCCTTGTTTTGAAAAGATGACAACAATTGAATATTTCCAGTCATATGTTTAGAGCAACCACTATCTAAAATCCACCTATCTTTCTTGGGTACCTGAAAAAATAAACATTTACATTTTGGTACCCATACTATGTTGGGTCCTTTAAATTAGCCTTTAGGAAACCAAACCCATGAAGAGTTTGATTTACTTAAATAATTAGATGATAAACAAATATTTTTAATAAAATCAGAAATATAAAAATTCTTATTAAAAGAAGATAATTCTTTTGGAACCCAAATAGAAAAGAATTTTGATTTCTTTTTATACAAATTTTCATATTTATAATCATGCAAATCACAAGAAGGTTTTACAAATATTGTATTCTTTGATTTGTTTTTATTAATTTGAAAACCTAATCCTTTTGTCTTTTGTGATTCTCTTTGAAAAGAAAGAATATTATTAAGATTTTCTTTTCCTTTATTAAATTTGCTTACATTTAAACATATATCTTCATATCTTGATTTAAAAGAAGAAATATCTTTATCTAAACTATTAATTCGAATATTTAACTTATTACATTCTGATTTTAAATATTTATTTTCATTAGATAAATTATCATTTTCTTTTAGTAAAGAAAAATTTTCTTCTTTTAATTCAACTAATTGAGAATTAGTATAAGTAGAGGAATTTAAATCTGAAATTTCTTCACGTAACCTTTTATTCTCACCTTTAAGAAAATTATGTGAAATTTTTAATCTTATAAAAGTTTCATATAATTCATTAAAAGCATCTAAAAGCTCTTCATTTTCACTTACATCATCTTGTGCCATGAAACACATGTGAGCACTTTCCTTTTCTTCAATTTCTTCATCTGAGGATGATTCATCACTATCATCCCAAGTAACCGCCATTGCTTTCCTTTTCTTGTTATTTTGAATATTGTTGAAGTTGTTGAAATAACTCGATTTTTGTTTATTCTTCAACATTGGGTAATCTTTCTTCATATGTCCTGGTTTATTACACTTAAAACACAGATGGTTAGTTGAATTTGAATTCTTAAATTTAAAATTACCTCTTTTGATGAATTTTCGAAATTTTCGTGCAAACATGCCCATTTCTTCATCATCATCATCTGAATCTTCTTTATCGGAAGTAGTATTGAATGCAAGAACTTTTTTATTCTTAGATTCTTCATCATTCTTCCTATCTTCAAGTTGTACTTCATATGCCATAAGATTACCAATAAGATTTTCAACCGTAAGAGTTGACAAATCATTTGCTTCTTCAATTGCAGTAACTTTCTTTTTCCATTGTGGAGTAAGTGAACGAAGTATCTTTCTTACAATCTCCACTTGAGTATATATTTTTCCAAGACCAATAAGAGAATTTGTGATGTCGGTGAATCTTGTGAACATTTCTCCAATAGTCTCATTTTCCTTCATCTTGAATAATTCAAATATGTGCACAAGAACAGAAATTTTAGACTCTTTAACTTTAGTAGTACCTTCATGAGTTACCTCGAGTGTGTGCCAAATGTCATATGCGGATGTGGCCGTTGACACCCTATTGAACTCATTCTTATCAAGTGCACAAAATAAGACATTCATTGCTTTAGAATCCAAATTAGCATTGTTTCTTTGAGATGTAGTCCATTCCGTGAAAGGAGTAGTTGGCTTCTCATATTTCGTTTCGACGACGTTCCAAGTAGTCCATTCCGTGAAAGGAGTAGTTGGCTTCTCATATTTCGTTTCGACGACGTTCCAAAGTTCGTAGCCAATTGATTGAAGGTATATCTTCATTCGACACTTCCAATAGTTGTAGTTCAAACCATCGAACATTGGAGGACGATTTGTAGAGTGGCCTTCCTTGAATTGTGATGTATTTGACGATGCCATCTTTCACCTTGCTCTGATACCAAATGTAGGATCTGAAATAGATACACTAGAACACTAGAGGGGGGTGAATAGTTAGTGTTCTTTTAAAATTATTGCAAAGTAGATAATAAATTGCAAAGAAAAATGGCAATCTCAGAAATTTGCAAACACAAACACAAGGATTTTATACTGGTTCCACCAATCCGGTGTACATCCAGTCCCCAAGTAAATCCCGCTTGAGAGTTTCCACTATGATTTTGAATAAACTTACAAAATCAAACGCAAACCTGACTAATTTGCAAGTCCCTGCAAATTGCAACACCAATTGACAAACTCCTTGCCAATTTGAACCTCAATCTCTAAGCCAAGAGATTAACCCTCTCACAACCGAGAGAAAACTTGTTGTAACAAGAACACAATGATCCTATAAGCCTTGAATGTGTATTGAAGTGCAGCAGTGGCTTAAGATACTTTTAATCTCTGTAAAATTTCCTAATGATTTGTTTTTGATGAAAGTATATAGGCAATTTCAGAAACTCTTCTTTTTCAGAGAATCAGAATGTATTTCACTTGAAAAATTGCACAAAGATCAAAGCTTATGGGTATGTATGCATGTGCAATTTTTCTGAACAAATAACCTATATATAACCCTTGAAAAGACAAGTTTTTAAAGTTTAAAAACGGCCAAAAACTGTCAGATATTCAAATTCTGAAAACTGAAAAACTGTCTGATATTCAAATTTTGAAAACTGAAAAACTGTCTCTTGTAGTCGACTACTGTAGTCATTAGTCGACTACACTGAGTTCAGACAGACTCTGTGTTTTCGGAAAATGTTCTCAGTAGTCGACTATAATGATCATTAGTCGACTATACTGTAATTTGACAGAAACTTGAAAAATAACATTTTTCTTCAGTAGTCGACTATAATGTTAATTAGTCGACTATACTGTAAACAGACAGAAACTTGTATTTGAGTTATATACATGAGTAGTCGACTACTATCCTAATTAGTCGACTATTAAGATCAAATATTCAGAAATAATAAGTTTTTATAATTAAGATTTAACTACTATTCTAATGGTTAACATAGGGGATTTCTATAGTTAACCAACACACTAAGCCTGTGTTAGTGTGTTCTAAAATTGTGTGTGTGTGCGTGTGTGTGTGATCAAGGCTTGTACAAATATTCTAAGTAAAGAAAAATTCAAATACATTATCTTTTGTTCTTCATTTTCTTCACTTCAAAATGCCTTGATATCCACTTGCACTTGTACATATTCTGATATTGAAATCTGCATATGAAAGTTAGTGCACACACAATATAAATTTGTTATCATCAAAACACTATCATGGAGATATGATATTCAACATTATTGACTCATCGGATCTCGTCAGCACCATGCGTCCCTAGTCGTCTAAATGACTCATACCATCTATAGTCGATATCTGTAAAATATCTGCCCACTAAGCTACCTGCTTGGACTTTGCTAAAGTTATACAATTGTCCCACTGGATCTGCTATAAATAGGGGTACTGACCACTGCGTAAGGGTAAACAATCTTTTGCGAATAAACACACTGCAAATTTACTTTTCTCATCCACTTAAGCTCATTACTGACTTGACCGTCAGAGGAACCACCAGAAATTTCAACTCTGATCCTCTCACGTATTGTTTGTGTGCATGACTGAATCTTTATTTCCCTATTTGATAACTAACATCAACAATTATGTTCTTTCTAAATCACACACACAAAAAAACTTTCTCCATCAATCTACTTTTTTTTTAAATTTTTTTTGGATTCTTAAAGCCTATTGGGATATGAAAAATTTTGAGAGGTTAATGTAGAGAGATTGAGGAAAACAAAGAAGAAAAAAACTCAAAATTTGGAAAATAAAGGCAGAAGCTTATGAGTTTGTGTTCTTACT